GGTAGGAATAGGTTCGAAGTTCATGTTTAAAAGAAGACTGCTCTTGCAGAAGTGGCACTCTATCCTTGAGTGCCGCTAAGTAATCGCTCAANATCTGATCAGTGTAGAATTGGGTGCAGAACCGATCGAGTGTTTCCAAGGAAGCAATTCTCGGTAGGAATAGGTTCGAAGTTCATGTTTAAAAGAAGACTGCTCTTGCAGAAGTGGCACTTTCTCCTTGAGTGCCCCCAAGTAATCGCTCAACAAAACCGGTGCACCAAAACTGATCCGAACTGCACCACAACGACCTGATCCCAAACTTTGTAGAATGCCTTTGAAGACACGCCAAACACTTTCACGTTCTTTCCGCATTCCCATCAGCTCATTGAAGAAGATCCCCTCAGTGGTTTCATCGTATGTGAATGATACGGGCACCAACCAAACATCTCGTATAGTACCTGCAAAACCACACAAAACTACTGTAACCGGTCTGTCACTGTTGATGGCAGTCGACTACTACCTAATAACTTTACTCTCAACATACGGCTTAACAAATCATTTAATTGTGAAATATTCTTACTAAAATGATTGTTCTACGCAATAAAATCACCTTGAAAATAGAATGAAAACATCTATTTCACAAACACAATGTTGAATAGAAACAAACTGCTAAGAATAAACTCATGAGATTCGGAAGAACTTTTGAAAAAAAAAAGTCCTTCGAGAAGGCCACTCACCATCTTGAACTGCATTAACAATATTTGATATTAAACCATTTTTCGGAAGTAACGTCTTCCCAAATCGACTTCTTAAAATAATGCAAACGTGAAGGACGCTGATCATTCGTAATCAAAATTTCCAAAATTATGTACGTGAAGGCATCAAATACTCAAAAGAACTGAAGACGAATAATGTTGAGAATGAGAATAAAAACAGGAAAAATATCGAAAATATAGCAAAACCTTGTGCCTTCAAGGAAGAATTCAATTGGCATTCCTTGTCGCAATATTTCAGTCATGTATGAATTCAGAACAGAACGGTACAATTGATCACATCCTGCTGCATTCGAATCGCCGACTCGCCGTCGAATGAAGAACGCACCTGTTGCACGAAGTAACCATCTGCAGAAATGTGAATGAGATGATTCCAAGTTGAAAGCTTAACCGCACTAGAAAGAATCCAAGCATTAAATGGAACTTACCCAAAACCAGACAGNCGTCGAATGAAGAACGCACCTGTTGCACGAAGTAACCACCTGCAGAAATGTGAATGAGATGATTCCAAGTTCAAAACATAACCGCACTAGAAAGA